TCCATTCACTCATTGCTGCACGTTTCTCTCCTCCCAAGCCTCCCCCCCAGAACACTACCCTCTTGAAAAAGTAAAAGAAAAATTCTTTAACTGTTTTACAAACCCTCCTCCAGGTCCATTCCACCATGTAGCCATCACTCTAGACTCCTGTCATGATAGAAATACCTAATCACATATCTCTATTAAACAGTTTTCTCCCTCCTCTGTTTCAATGGAGTATACATTACTGAACCCATCTTACTCAATCTCTCCCCAACCCCAAGGTCAGTCCTCTTTTACAAAAGTGGCACCATGCAATATTTATCCTTTTGTGACTGGGATATTTCACTCAGCATAATGTTCTCCAGAGTCAACCTTTTTGAGTAATATTGCATGAGTTCCTTGTTTTTTCAATGCAGTATAGTATTCCATTGTGTGAATATACCACAGCTTCTCTATCCATTCGTTTGTTGATGGGAATCCCTAGCAGTTGTGTGACTAACCCAAAGGTTGTGCTACTCTGGTGATTCAAATCCATCAGTAAGCATCTTGGCAATGAGTTGGCAAGACTTGTAGACAGGTAGTTTGAGTTTCTAACCTGAGGGGCTCATCTTTTAGCACTGTGTCTAACAATGTTACAGTTCTGTTCTTGGTGTTTTGGAGGGCTGTTATTTTGGAAGGGAGTGTGTCAGGGCTGCATCCTGTCCCTGTACCTTTTCAGTTTTTATGCAGAACAGATCATTCGGGAAGCAGGGCTTTATGAGGGGGAGTGTGGCATCAAGATTAGAGGGAGACCCATTAACAACCTACAGTATACAGATGACACAACCTTGCTTGCTGAAACTGAAGAAGACCTGAAGGACTTCCAGCAAAAGGTCAAGGACTGTGGATTGAATAGGGATTGAAGCTCAACATCAGAAAGACAAAGATTCTTACCACTGAGCCAGTTGGCAACACTGTGAAAGATGGAGAAGAGATTGAGGTTGTTAGCAATTAAGCTTGCTCAGATCCATAGTCAACACTTTTTAAAAAAAATTTATTCTGTTTGTGTTTGTGCGATCAAATTGGATCCAACTGGTGCAGGAGGAGATTGCCCCTCCTTCTCCAACAGAACATCTGGTAGATTTGAACCACATGCTTCTGGGTTTGCAGTGCAGCTTCTTGCCATTAGGCCACCAGAGCTCCCCTCACAATCAACACCAGCAATCAGGAAATCAAAACACTAATTGCATTGGGAAAATCTGCTGTCATGGACCTCTTCAGAGTGCTGAAGAGCAACATTGTCAGTCTAGATACAAAGGTATGTCTAATCCAGGCATGGTCTTCTCAATTATTTGTTATGCTTCAGAGAGGTGGACAGATGACTAAGGTTGACAGAAGAATAGATGCCTCGAGTTGTGGTGCTGGAGAAGAGTCTTGAACATACCATGGACTGCCAAGAAAACAAATAGGTCTATCTTGGAGAGGGTGAAACCAAGTCTCTCCTTGGAGGCTAGGGTTTTTAAGCTCCCCCTCACTTATTTTGGGAAAGTGGCCAGGAGAGATCGGTCCTTGGAAAAGGACATCATGCTCAGAAGGGTGGATGGACACTACAGGAGAAGGCAACCCTGAGCATGATGGATTGATACAGTAACTGGGGCAATGGGGGTTAGTGTGTAGGAATTAGTGAGACTGGCTCAGGACAGGGAAGGGTTCAGAGCTGCTGTACATAGGGTTACTATACATTTGTAGGCAACTTAATGGCACATAACAACAATAGCGTACTATGACAGGAAGCATACTATGGAAGCAGGAATGGCAGCCAGTTCATAAATAACATGCCTCCGGAAACTATGAATGTCGATAGTTGTAGAGGGGTGTCAGGCCTTTTGTTCATAGGGTCACTGTGAGTCATTCTCGACTCAAAGGCAGTCAATAAAAATAGCAACACCATTAATGACTACTTTGGCAAAGCTTACATTAGTTTTGCATGATTTAAAACACTCTGAAAGCCCAAATTCTTAGGACTCGCCTCCCTCTGTCTCATCAGTAACTAGACTGCTCCCAGCTATAATGTTTTATTCCTTTTGCTGTGTGTAGCACTACACATCTTTTTCCTCAGTGAAGCCATTGTTAGTCAATAAAACTAGATTCATCCAAACCAGAGGAGTTTTCTTTTTTAAGGCTTTTATTTTTAAAGACTGTTTGAATGAGTGACAAGTTTTTCAATTAATGAAGGCTTATGTGTATTTTGTGTGACAAAGCCATGCCGCCATCAGTTGCAGCCCAGCAGTTCTAATTAAACATGGGTTCTCACGTTAGGGCATTGTCATTTATTTACTTCTGTATACTTTCTTCTGTTTAATTTTACACACGCGCGTGCACGCACAGTCGCACACACACACAGTTTTTATTACAGTGCAATTATTTTGTGAGAATGGGAATTCTGATCTCAGTGATCTTTTATACAGAAATTGCCATCATGACTGATATTCAAAATATCTTTATTATTTTCAGACTCACATGATAAACACAAGACTCCTACACTGAATGGTTTGTACTCAGTGGAATACAAAAAGGCATTAATAGTATTTGCTGCTTTTAGTAAGGCATGCAGATAACTGAAACAAACACTGAGGTTATGACACACTTCATGCATCTTAATTGGCATTTCTTTTGGAGTTGATGCTAAACTCAATACAAAGAAGCACTTTCAGTGCTTAGTGCTATATTTGTGTTGTCGTGTTTCAAAAATGGGCTCACTCGGAAAGATGAGGTCTGTGCTTGAGTGAGCTCCACAGGCCTGCAACCAAATGCAATGATAAACAATATTGAATGAAGTTGAACACCTGACCAGTGGATAATACTTCCAAGTCATTTAATCATCTAACTTTCTGCAGTATTCTAAGATATCCACATTGACAATTACATATAACAAGTTATTTTGGCTATGAAGTAAAGACATTCTTTGAATTCTACATACCAACTGGTGGCTACAGCCTGAGTTCCTTATGCTTTTGGGATTTTTTCATTGTTTTTAATAAGTTCTTTATAAGGTCTTTAGGACATTGATAATTTTGCTTGTATTTCTGCTTTAAGCAATTATAGCTGTAAATTGCCCTCGGAAGCATTACTTAAACTGCATCCTACAGTTATTAATGGATTGTATTTTGATTGGAGTCCCTGAGTCATGCTAATGGTTAAGGTGTTGGAGGTTTGAGTTCATCAGGGGCAACTTAGAAACAAAGCTTGGTAATCTACTTTGGAATAAAATCAGCAATTGAAAATCTGATAACACTTTTGAGTCTGAATCTTGATTTATGGGGTCAGTTTTAATCTGAATTATGACTTGTTTGATTTGGTCTTTTAGATGGATGCTAATCAGCTTGAAATTATCTCAAAGTGGTGGTTGGAAATAATTTTAAATTTAGAAGTAATTATAAATTGTTAAGATTTTTAATGTGGACACAATTCTTTGACTAGGTACCCTTTAATAATTGTCTTTGTTCACTTAGAAAATACAAATGTGTATGCACACCCATGTTTATCGTGGCTTTGTTCACAATAGCAAAGAGTTGGAAACAACCTAAGTGCCCATCAACAAATGAATGGATAGAGAAGCTGTGGTATATTCACACAGTTGAATACTATGCTGCATTGGAGAAACAAGGAACTCATGAAATATTCAAAATGGGTGACCCTTGAGGACATTATGCTGAGTGAACTATTTCAGTTACAAAAGGACAAATACTGCATAATGGTGTCACTGTTGTAAAATGGGACTGACATTGGGGTTGAGGGTAGACTGAGAAAGATGGGATAAATTATGTATGCTGCATTGAAACAGATGAGGGAGAAAACTTTAAAAGGGATATATGATTAGGTATTATTGTCATGACAGGAGTCCAGAACAAAGGCTGCAGAGTAGAGTGGAATTGGGGGGAGGGATTGTATAACAGTGAAAGAATTTGTTGTTTACTTTTCAAAGGGAAGAGCAAACTGCTGGGGTGGGGGGGAGGTTGGGCAGGGAGAAAAGTACAAAAATGAATCAATGGAAATCCAAAGTCTCTGTAAACTTTCATTGAAATTAAAAATAAAAATATACAAATATGTAAGGAATAATAAGATTAAGACTATTCTTTACTGTTAATGACTTTAGTAATTTGCTCACCGCCTCCCTTTCATAATAATTCACCCCCCCCCCTTTTTAAGAAAAACTTTCATTTCAAGCACTTCTCTAATAGCATACAATCCCCTTTGGCAATTGTAGGAAATGTTGCCAATAATCTCTTAACAAAAGGTTAAAATAGTTGTTTAATTTTTAACAAGTTGGAAATTCTGATGACTTTACCCTCTAAAGATATGTAACTGAGCATACCTTAGTAATAGCTCACTCTTTTTTTTTTCTTTTTTCTTTTTTTCCAGCAGGAGAAATAGTTTATTAAAGCAAAGAGGATCCTGTTTGGATTTTAAGAGGTTCCCAGGCTGGATTCATTAGCGAAGCTAGGACATGCAGTACTGGCAGAAGGACAGCTAGAGGCAAAAAGGAGAGAAAGATTCTCAAAGAGATGAGAACAAGACCCCTCAAAGGATGGGAGAAGGGGAAGTGCTAGTACATTTTTTTGAATGCTTATTTTAGCATTCTCATTGTATATCATAAAAACAAGGTTGATGTTTGGATTTTTATAACAGAATTTGAGGGTTGTATACTCTTTTGAAAATGAAACTGCAGAAGATTGGAATCATTGAAAGGTTGGAGGTAGAAGAAGGGGGAAAACAAAGAAGAATATTAAATAATTTTAGTTTGGGAACATGGAGTTTCTTTTTAGAATTTTTGAATAATTTGAAGTAAGTTTATAGTTAACCTCAAAGGGCAGTTTTATGGGTTGTGATTTGTAACAGAACACTAGCAGAGTGGAATTTCAGTTGAGGAATAGAGTATGAAACCATGAAAAACCCCACAGCAAGACACTAATTTTACAGAACTGGCACTTTTACTTTCCGTAGTCATGCTAAGGTCTTACCTTCTTTTTTTCAACTAGATATGAAGAAGCTGAAGTTCGTAAAAAGCTTGAAGAAAAGGACAGGCAAGAGGAAGAACAACTACAGCAACAGAAAAAGAAGGAAGTAGGAAGAGAAGATGGTGGTATGTCAGCTAAAAGTTCTTTGGACAGTGCATTGGATTCCAAAGAGAAATCCCAAAAGGTATTTGAAGTTTATTATGTAAAGCTGAAGACTGGTTCTATGTGTCAGATGATTAAATTAAGAATTGGTCTGCCAGTACAAATTTCTTTCAGGCTATCAAGGGTAAAATTGAATGTGTTTTTATCAGAAATTATATTTTCCAGCCTCTGTTGTGGTCAGGTTTTTCTATGAGCTTTCACAGAAATCTTGTCTGTGTGTTAATTTTTTAAAAACATGTTAGAATTAGAGCAGTAGTAAATTGGTATAGGTGAATTCCCGTCCTTTGTCAAGTCTTTCTTCACCACTTTGGAACTTAGCTTACTCATTTTCCAAATGAGGATATAAATTATATGCTCTTTAAGGTTTCTGTCTGTTTAATAAATATAATTTACAGTAAAGGAATGTAGGTATACTACTACTTTGGTGTCAAATGTATTACCTTTTCTCATGTCTCAGAAACAATGTTCTTTTTGATTTTTTTCTTTTTTCTACCCATTCCCCTTTTCTTTTTCTTGGACTCTCTTTGTCATTTTGTTCAGCATCTTAACTTTTCAGCCACATCTTATGTTTGCCAGATTCTGTCAGTGACCCCATAACCTTCTAGCTCTCATTCTGTCTCCTTCCCTTCACCTTCTCAGAAACTACTAACATATTTTTCTGCACTATTGAAATCCAGGGGAAAGATTTTTGCTTGTGATCATTGTGTATATTGCTTGCAGCAGAGATAAAAAGAAATTATCTCGTCTCAGTTCTAGGAATTTATAAGATTAATATTACTGCCTCAGAGAGATCTTAATTTGTAGGTAAAATGATGGATGCAAAAAAATGAGACTTGAAAAAAACTATACAAAGGGTATTTTTAAAATATTTCATTTTATTGCCTTTGTAAAAATTGGTGCATTTTTTTATATTTTAATATTTGTTCAACTTTTTTGTTTTGAAAAGCGAATATGAGATACCACCCAACGTCAGTAATCACCAGTTTGATCTATTCCTAATATTTCTGTTTGCATCTCAACAAAATGACATTTTCTTAACCGTAATACTATTTCCTAACTTCACAATATTTTTTTAAAAGTTTTTATTTTATTTCATTATTTGTTGTGTGTACCGTCAAATCAGATCTGACTGATACAGGAGGAGATTGTTCCTCCTCCAGCGGAGCATCTGGTGGATTCCAACCATGTACCTCTGAGATTGCAGTGCAGCTTCTTGCCACTAGGCCACCAGAGCTCACCCTAACTTCACAGTATTAACAATAATAATGCCTAATAATGTAATACCTTTTTCTGTGTTCAGATTTCCACAATTGTCTCAGAATGTCTTTTTTTTTATTAAATTTTGTTAAATTTAATGAACATTTACAGAGATTTTGGGTTTCCATTAATTCATTGTTGCACTATTTTCTCTACCCTCCCCCCCAGTTCGTTCCTCTTTTTTTACCCCTTGAAAGTCTGTTTTAATTGTCCCATTGCCACAGTGCTTGTCAAAGCCAGTTCTGATTAATCTCCTTTGTCAGTGTGTCCTTTGCCATTCCCTATCACTCCTCCCTGAGAGAGACTGCACCCTGATTCATAAGGAAAGGGGATGGTGTATTCTCTTAGCTACTTCCTGCTGAAAAGGGACGCTGTAGGTTTCAGAGTGAAGATCTTCTCTCACTACTCTAAAGGGGCCCTTTAGCAATAGGAAACACGTAGACTATTGTGGAGATTGATTTTCAGAATGTCTCTTTACGGTTCATTTGTCTAAATGAAATCCTCTTATCTTTTGGTAATATCTCTGCCTCAGTTCTCCTTGTTTTTTTGATACATTTGCTGTTTTGGTACTGGATCAATTATTCAATAAAATAATTCACATTCTGTGTTTATTCTTGGGATTGTTTAACTTGTACCTTCTATATTTGTAGGATGGAATTTGAACCTAGAGGCTTAATTAGATGAAATCTAATTAGGTTAAAGCAATTTTAGGTTTTTGGCAAGTATGTTTTATAGATGATTCAGTATACTTCATATTATATCGGAGTGGGTTGTTGTTGGTAGTGTGTGCCATCAAGTCAGAACCAACTCATAGCTGATCCTCCACCGGGTTTTCAGCTGCAGTAAATCACCCTGGAGGAAATTGCCCATCCTTCTCCTGTGAAGCATTGGTGGAAATTTGAACCATGTATCTTTGGGATACATCACAGCTTCTTACCACTAGGCTACTATCTTTTTAGAGATCAGTATATTTAGAGAGGTCTATAGTTTTCCCATGAGATAATGCCTTACAGAGTTATCCTATGTTGTCTTGCCTAGAAAATGTAAATTACTAAGTAACTGTAAATTACTTAACAAGGAGTCTTAGTGACACAGTGGGTATGTGCTTGACTGCAAACCAAAAGATTGACAATTCAAACTCTCTAACTACTTTGTGGGAGAAACACGTGGTAGTCTATTTCCATAAAGATTAATCCACTACAGTCAAACTGATACTGCTCATAGCGACCCTCCACTGGCTTTCTGAGGTTTTATATCTTAGATATGAGGGGAGATTGCCCATTGTTTCCATGGAGTTGCTGGGGGATTCAAACTACTGACTATTCAGTTAGCAGCCCAATACAGTACTATACCATCAAGGCTCCTTTCTATAAAAATTACAGTCTAAGAAACCCTATGAGGCATTTGTGCTCTGCCTTATCTGGTCACTCTGAGTTAAAACCCATTTGACAGCAATGGGTTTAGGTTTTTTTGTTGTTACTACTGTGCATTACTTAACTTTCATTACATTATATAACAGAGGACATGGACTAGAATAAACAGAATTCTGGTTTTATTATAAGAAGGCCTTCATTTACTCATTAAATGTCTATAGCATTTTATGTTTATTTATTTAACTTTTAACTGAAAAAATGACAAAATTTCTATATGATTCTGATATGCAATTTGTTAACTGTTGCCAGTTAACTAGGTAATGTCATTATAACATATCTCTGTCTACAAAATGTCAGTACTTTGCATACTCCATAGGCTTTTAATTTCAGTAAAGTATCAAAGTTGAGCTTTTTTTTAAGAAGAAAAATTTGTTTCTATTAAAATTGAAACTTTCTTCCCCTTGTGAAATAGATCAATGGTGAAATGAGTGAAAAAAATGAATCAACAGAGAAAGGTAAGTAAATATGTACCAAAGAGGAAATTGTTTTAGGTTATTATTGAGCTCTTTTAGAATCCAACTAGTCTTCAGATTTTACACAGTAAAGATTCTTACATTGCCGGTAATCTATTTGTAAATGTTACCATTTTTCTATCCTGTTGTTGAGTATCGTCAAGTCAGAACTGACCTATAGGTGACTCCAGTGGGTTTTCAGAGGCAGTAATTAATTGCCTGTATAGATTGCCCATACAACTGTGTTAAAAATGTATTATGTTCTATGTTTGTGTATAATGGAGCTATTATAGAAATAATTTTTGCCTTAGTGAAATGATCATTTCAAGTATGTCACTAAAAATATTAAAACCACAGAAGAAAACCTCTTTTTAGGATGTAGTCTAGCATAGTGGTGAAGAGCATGGACTTTCCAGAGTTCGACTGCCAGGATTTAAAGCCTGGCTCGTCCTCTCAATTTCTGTGTGATCTTCATTAACTTACTTAATCCTTCAACCTTGGCTTCCTTACTTGTCAGACGAGCATCAAAATAGTACCTATTTTGTGGGGTTACAATCTGAAGATTAAATGAGTTAATTTATGCTATGCCTGAATTATGCTAAAAAATACCTAGTTAACACTGTACATTGTTCGCTGCTGTTGAGTTAGTTCTGGCTTACAGCAACCCTGTCACACCAATGAGAACACTGTCTCATCTTGCACCATCCTCACAGTTATTGCTGATTGAGGCCCTTCTTGTAGCCACTGTATTGAGCCACTTCATTGAGAGTCTTCCTCTTGTTTGATTACCCTCTCTGCTTTACCAGTCGTGATTTTCTTCTCCAGGAACAGGTCCCTTCTGACAATTTGTTCAGAATAAGTGAAATCAAGTCTTATGCCTTTAGTTCTAAAGAGCATTCTGACTGCACTTCCAGAATAGATTTATCTGTTCTTCTGGCGGTCCAAGGCATATTCAGTATTCTTTGTTAGCACCGTAATTCAGAGACATTATTTCTTCTTTTTCCTTTATTCACGTCTAGATTTCCTATATTTACTGTCCAAATTTCAGTTGTAAATGCCATGGCTTGGGTCAGGTGCACCTTAGTTCTAAAAGTGGCATCTTTGCTCTGTGATACATTAAACTCTGTAGATAAACTATTGTGTTATTGTTATGTTCTGTCGAGTCGTTTGCGACTCATAGTGACCCTATGTACAACAGTCCTGAACCCTGCTCTGTCCTGTGCCAATCGCACTGCTTCTGACACACCCATCCCGATTACCCCAGTCACTGAATCAGTCCATCTCATAGAGGGTCTTCCCCTCCTGTGCTGTCCCTCCACCCTCCCAAGCATGATGT